CACCGAAGCCATTCAACAAGCTGCAACGGTGCTAAATCAGGTGGCGGTGGGACTGCAATGCCAAGTGGCCCCGCCGCGACCTCAGGAAATAGAGGTAGAATCCCTGCGGAGGATAGATGCCCGACAGGACGCAACCCGTGCAGCGAGGGACGCAGGGTGCCATTCCAGGACAGGGGGTCCAGAGGAGGGCACCCAAAGAAGTGGACCGGCCAGACGGCAACCAGGACCCTCCCGCTCTTCCCTTGAACGATTGGGACACAGGGGGCCCGCGCGGCAAAGGATAGGATCACGGGCCGAGGGGTCCTCTACCAGAGCCCTCGTCGGCACGAAAATAGAGAAGGAGAGAGATCACCCTTTGAGAGGATGCGCGAGTCTCGTGAATCGGCCCCGCGCCGACACGGTGGTGAATCGGCCCTGCGTCGACACTCGGATGAGCGGCGCACCGATGAGCCGGCTCCGCGTCGACACTCGGCGGACGAGCGGCGCGCTGATGAACGGGTTTCACGCCAACACTTGGATGGACGACACGTCGATGAACCAGCTCCGCGTCGACACTCAAATGGGCAGCATGTCGATTAGCCGGCTCCACGCCGACACTTGGACGAGCGGCACGTCGATGAGCCAGCTCCACGCCGATACATGGATGAGCGGCAGCCGGCCCGCGCTGGCACCCTAACGAGTCGACCCTGGTCGAGAGGCTGCAATGAAGAATCAAGGAGTTAGCAAGGAGGGTGGAGGCACGGGAGCAGTCGCCGGAACTCGAGGTACGTATGGTAGCACCATTCTCCCCAAGTATAATGGACATACCTTTGTCGAGGGACTTTAGGTGCCCGCCATCAAAGCGTACACGGGGGCCACTGACCCGCGTGTCCACATGACGAGATACAAGGCTGCTATGGTAATGATCGGGGCAGGGGATGCGTCATGTGCCGAGCATTCTTCTCCACATTGAATGGAGCGGTCCAAGACTAGCTCAACACCATCCCAGATGGGTCGATCCAAAATTTTGGAAAATTGTCCAAGAGCTTCCTGACATACTTCTCCAGTATCATACACCATAATAAACCCTTCTCTCACCTTTGTGTAGTAAAGCAAGATAGAGGCGAGAGCCTCAAAGACTTCCTGAACAAATGGAAAAAGGAAGTTAATAATGTCTACGACTTCGACTCCAAAGCGGCGATCCCGATATTTATCCATGCCTTAAGATCGGGGTATTTCCACAAGCAGCCGAACGCCCACCACCGCTGCTCTTACGAAGATTTGATGAGGACGGCCAGCCGCTATGCCGAAAGCAGAGGATGTCGATAGGAAGAAGAAGGACGAAGAGGATGGTAGAAAGGGTGGGAAGCCTGGGAAAGCTGGTCTGCCCAGCCAGGCACCACGCTCGAACCACTCGTCCACAGGGAAAGGCCGAGACTACGAACGACCTCGCCTGGTCCCCCTGCGTAATTTAGCCCCTCTTACCCATCCCGTCAGTGTCATTCTAAAGCAAGCTGAGGAGATGGGAATAGTGGAGTTCCCGCCGGAGTACATGAAGGTCTCCCCGAAAGAGACCAAACAAAGTACTACAGGTTCAATAGGCAACCCGGGCACGATACAGATGAATGTAACGTGTTGAAGAGGTAAATAGAAGAGCTCATCCAGCAGGTCTGCTTCCGACATTTCATCAAGCGGTCCAAGCAGCAGCAACAGCCGCAACGCAATCCACCAAAAAATGTCTGGAGGAAAGATGATGACGTCGAACCGTCCACCTCGAACACAAAAAAAAAAAAAGAGAACACGACCAAATATCTGAGCAGGATGATAGTGAGAAAGAAATGGAGGTGGCGCCCAGACGACCAAAGAAGCACACCATACACTTTATTTATGGTGGACCTGCGGGGGACGACACATCCGCAGAGAGGAAGAAGTGGAGCCGACAGCTGTACGTAGGAGAAGTGGTGAGTCTTCCCAAAGGAAAGAAGCAGAAGCGGGAGGCCATCACTTTCTCTGACGAGGACCTTCCCGAGGGCCCCCTACCCCATCGCGACGCACTGGTGATTAAGATGGACATCGATGATATGATCGTGCACCGCATCCTGGTTGACACAGGAAGCTCGGTCAATGTGATGTACTACGACGCCTTCACCAAGTTAGGGCTACCTAGGAGCCAGCTCAAAGAGGTACGAACTCCACTCTCTGGATTTACTGGGGATTCGGTGGACACAGAAGGGTCGGTGGTCCTACCAATGGAGATAGGCACGAGCCCCAACATTCGCAAATTGGACATGGAATTCATCGTGGTAAGACTCACTTGTGCGCACAACATCATATTGGGGGGCCAGCCCTGGAGGACCTCAAGGCCATAGTGTTGGTGGAACACTTATGTATGAAGTTCCCTACTCCGAATGGGATAGGGGTCGTCAGAGGAGACCAGCGAGCAGCTCGCAGTTGTTACGTAAAAGCATGCAAGAAGATTGGTAGTAAGGATCTACAAGTCCACGCGATGGCAGAGAAAATTTTCAAAGAAGAAGAGGCCTGGCCCCGCGCTGAGCCCATATCAGAAACAGATGATATAGTTCTAAATCCCTCAAGACCAGATCGAGTGGTGAAGATCGGCACAGGCTTAAGCCCGGAGCTAAGGGCCCAGATAGTAGATGTGATCTGCCGCTCCCGCGCGGTGTTCGCATGGGGGCCGGAGGACATGCCAGGCATAGATCGAGGCATCATAAACCACAAGCTCGCAGTCGACCCCAGCGGAAAGCCGGTACATCAGCGAAAAAGGTATATGTCGGCAGAACGGAGGGAGTTCGTGAAAAAGGAGGTGGTCGCATTGCTTCACGTGGGGCACATCAAGGAGATTTACAAACAGCAGTGGTTGAGCAACGTAGTCTTGGCTCCCAAAGGATCAACGTGGAGGATGTGCATAGACTACACAGACCCCTCAACAGGGCATGCCCTATGGATCGGTTTCCATTACCTAATATAGATCAGTTGGTGGATGAGACGGCAGGATGTGAGCTTATGAGTTTCATGGACTCCTTCCGTAGGTACCATCAGATATCCATGTATGAGGAGGACACCGAGAAGACCGCCTTCACCACTCCCGAGGGGATATTCTGCTACTTGGTCATGCCATTCAGATTGAAAAATGTTGGGGCCACATACACTCGCATGGTGGCAAAGCTATTCAAAGCCGTGCTAGGGCGGAGCATGGAAGTATACGTGGACGACATGATCGTCAAAAGTCGCAAGGCCACCTCCCATGTCGAGGATCTCAGCGAGGTATTCTCTATTATGAAGAAGTTTAATTTGCGTTTGAACCCAAAAAAATGCACCTTCGCTGTTGATGGGGGCAAATTTTTGTGCTTTATGGTCACTAGGACGGCATTGAGCCGAACCCAGAAAAGGTAAGGACTATCTGTGACATGGAGCCTCCACGGTCCATAAAGGAAGTCCAGAGGCTCAACGGGCGTCTGGCAGCCTTAGGCCGGTTCCTATCTAAATCGGCTGAACAATCCCTCCCTTTCTTCCAAATCTTGAAAAAGAACAAAGGGTTCGAGAGGACGCTAGATTGTCAAAAGGCCTTAGAGGAATTGAAAAAAGATTTGTTGTCCCCGCCCCTGCTTGCAAAGCTAGAGGCAGGTGATACCTTACTCTTGTACTTGGGCGTGTCACAGGGTGCGATCAGCTCTGTGTTGGTCAAAGAAGAAGGAGGGACTTAGCGTCCCATCTGCTACGTAAGTAAAGCCCTACACGACGCGGAGCTCCGGTACATGCACTGCGTTAGAGAAAACGGTATTTGCCATAGTCACTTCATCAAAAAGGTTAGCTCATTACTTCCAAGCTCACCCCATCCACGTGCTCCCACACCAACTGTTGGGAAGCTTCCTCCAGAATACCAATAGCTCGGCCAGGATGGCACGGTGGGCCATGCACCTCAGTCAGTTTTACATACACTTCAAACCGAGGCCCGTCATCAAAGGACAAGCTCTTGTAGACTTTATAGTAGAGTGCACAGCCCGGGAAGTGACGGACCAGGTAGAACTGAAGATGGAGGGTGGTGGACCTTGTCCACAGATGGTTCTTCCAACAGCAAAGGTTGCGGCAGCGGCGTAGTGCTCGTCACTCCGGAAGGATTCTGCTCCACTTGGAAAATGCCACTGTTAAGGAATTTTTATGTCAAAAAATATCCTTTTACATTAGAGGCTTCAGAGGTTGTTCATAGAAACATAGAAACTCTATTTTGGTTGCGTCCCGATTGTTGTAAAGATGATCTTTTTACAAGGATTCCAAATTTAAAAAAATTGGGGATTCAAGGTGGAATGGATTTTGAAAATGAAAATTTAGATGATTTTTATAATTTCGTGCACTTCGAGCAGCTTGAGAAACTAAGCATCAAAGGGTGGCATCTCGAACTTCAGGATAGGCGCATTCAATGGGCAACTAGTGTTCTACCAAATCTTAAGAAGCTAAAATTGTTCAAGACTAGATTGCCATGGAGTAATATGAAACTTATTGGTATGTTGCCAAATCTAGAAGTTCTAAAACTGGAAAATGCTTGGCTAGGCAAAAAGTGGCCATCTGAGGGAGGGTTTCGTCAATTAAAAAGGTTGGTAATTGAAAGCACGTATCTCGAATATTGGAATGTTGTGGGTGACCATTTCCCTGTGCTCGAGCATTTAGAGTTAAGTGGTTGCGATTTGTTGCGAAAGATCCCTATTGAGTTTGCTGATATCACCACACTTGCATTGATTCAGTTAAATAAGTGTCGTTATTCCGTTTTGGTTTCTGCATTGTGTATTCAAGATGAGCAGTGAAGATATGGAAATCATGGCCTTTGTGTTCGTTCTAAACATGCTTAGGTCTCTCCCGTCCCAAACGACCTGTGACTGTTTCACATTTCTTCACCAATATGTAGTTAGGTGGTGTGTCCCAAGGGTCCTTTATCACGGCTATGAGTATACCTTGGATAAGAGTCTACTCTTCCAAAGTGGCCATTAGGGAGGTGCTCAGCTGAGTGGTTCGAGGCCTATCAAATGACAATGACTAGTCCTTCTTTTATCTTGTCTTAGCTGACATAAAATCACTGTTAAATTGTTTTCCACACACTTTTGTATCTTTTGTAATGCGATCAGTGTTGGGAAGAAAGCTCACAAGAATATATAATTAGCACAATGAAAATAAATAAACGGCACCAAGAAGAACACCAAGAATTTCAACGTGGAAAAACCTCCTCAAGGCAAGGAGTAAAAAACCACGGGCACAAGCCAGTAAACCTTCCACTATATAGATAATTGGTACAACAGAGGAGGCTTCTCTAATTCAACGATTAGAGGCAACACAAAATACAGGATAAAATAACATACCCCGAGGCACAAGAATTTCTACGAAATCCACCAACTTCTTCTCGGCTAATTTTCTCACACTTGTATATCTCAACAAATTTCCTCTCCTCTCTTTTTCTTCTTCTTGAACTCTTTCATATCCAGGGTAGCCAAATCCATGGCCTTTATATAGGCTTTACAAAGCCAACTCTTTTGTCTTTTCATTTGCCCATTTTAATCTCCCATTAAGTGGACATGAATGAAGCCATTAATCAAAAAACCTTTCACTTCATCTTCCAAGCTTAATTGTGAAGCTTTGGGTCACCACCCTACCCACATTGGTGGAACCATCTAGCAACAAACTCCCCCTCACGCCAATGTGGGAGGGACTTGCATCCCTGCAGCTGAACGACAGATCTCAAGCTTTTCCCTGCAGAATTATAAGGGACTTGTTGCATACTTGCCTTTTCTTCCTTTGTAGAAGGACTTTGCTTACTACTTAATTTAAAGTGATTAGCAAGAGGAGAACTAACCGCTTTAGCATTGTCCATGTTAAACCTACAAAGTATTTTCTCAATGTACTTCTCCTGAGACAACCACAACTTTTTGGCGTTCCTATCTCGTGTAATTCTTATCCCAAGAATCTGTTTTGCTGGCTCCAAGTCTTTCATAGCAAAAGACTTGCTCAACTGTTTCTTTAGCTGATTAATTCTAGAAGCACTCTTGCCGAAGATCAACATATCATCAACGTACAACAGAAGCATAATAAAATAATCATCAGAGAATTTCTGAAAGAATACACAATGGTCAGAAGTAGTCTTCATGTAACCTTGTTGCGCCATAACTGACTCAAACTTCTTGTACCATTGCCTTGGTGCCTGTTTTAAGCCATATAGGCTCTTTTTTAGCTTACAGACATATAGTCCTCTTTTCCCTTGACTTCAAAACCCTCTGGCTGCTCCATGTATATTTCTTCATCTAAATCACCATGAAGAAAAGCAGTCTTTACATCCATTTGCTCAATTTCTAAATCTAGGCTGGCTGCTAGTCCAAGAACAACACGAATGGAAGACATCTTAACCACTGGAGAAAATATCTCATCAAAGTCAATACCTTTTCTCTGGTCGAATCCCTTGACAACTAGTCTAGCTTTATACCATGGCCGTGAAGAGTGTTCTTCCTGCTTTACTCTGTACACCCACTTGTTTGTCAAAGCTCTCTTACCTTTAGGTAGCTTTACTAACTCAAAGGTATTATTCTCATACAAGGATTTCATCTCATCTTTCATGGCTTCAATCCACTTTTCCTTGTGTTCATCCTCCACAGCTTCTGCATAACATTCTGGTTCACCATTATCAACAAAATTAATTTCATAAATATCAGAAGAGTACCTTGTGGAAGGCTGTCTAACTCTTGAACTTCTTCGAAGCTGAGGTGGAGTTGAAGCTTCTGGAACTGGGAGTTGTTGGGGAAAATAGCAACGTCAACGCGTGATCTGGAAGCCTTTTAAGAAGCACGGACACTATTGGTGTATAGTTGAAAGGAAATCTGTGCCGTGTTACAATAACACTACCTTAAAAGCATAAATTTTCCGGTGACGGTTCCGGCATGCTTTCTACAGGCTACACAGATTAATAATGTAGTGTTATGCTCATATAAGGAGGAAGCTATGAACAAAGATGAGAAGCTCTCTTGTGTTCTCTCTCTGCGTGAACTGGAAGTAGGATTTTATAGTACAAAACTTCAACATCTTTCTCCCTTCAGACCACACAAATAGTGCTATTTTAGTGGTAATGGATCCTGAATAAAAGGCATGTCTCTGACTGGTAGACAAGAGAGGAATTATTCAGGCAGCTCCAAACAATTAGGAGAAGAAATAAATAAGTGAAAAATCCTTCTTTATTGAATAGTTTTTCCAACAATCCCACCCATTCAGAAAGAAGGATTAATAAAGGAATGTCTGAGCAGTACACCGAAGTTGACCTTAATGTTAGTGAATCAGCTCTTGAACTAACACGTAGTGACATTGAGTAATTTCCTTCCCAAGAGTGATATGAATCTTGAACTCATTGGTTAGAGAAATTTTGAACTCTAACGCATACATCAACTTTCACAAAAATCCCCGTCATGTCTATCTCAATATAGACTTTTCAAATCCGTCGAAGTCTATCTCAATATAGACTTTACCTCTGTCAAGTCTATCTCAACATAGACCACCTATTATAGGAGAGTGAATCACAATGTGGTGAAGGTGTTGGACACCCCCACAATTGCATGGTTATCACCATGTTTCTCAGCCATTCAGCTTCTTGGGATAACCCCATTATCTTTCATAAGAGGCGGTTAGCCCTTTTCTACTCAAGTTAGGGATTTCTTTAGGTCTACCTCAACATAGACCACCTCAATTGAGTATAAGTCACCAAGAGCACTTTGTACTCATGTCATTATGCGGTGAATTCATTAGGTTTGTCTCAACAAAACCACCCTTTCTCAAAGAGTTATGAATTCATTACGAGCTGTAGCTCAACCTCACAAGTACACACACTGTCGGAATGACCAACTAGTGTACTATTTTGTAACTCTTTTCATGGCTTCGTTTGACCACAGAAGTGGGATCCACCACGAATTCATTACCACTTGGACTTTAAGTTCTTCCAATGAGTCAGCGACTAATCCTCATAATTAGCCCTCAAGTAAATTGATTCTTTTGATCAAACTTACATGCACTTTGACGAGTACTTCGTTTACTCGTAAATAATCCCTTGAGATTTTCATGTTTAACATGAAACATCCTCTTTCATCATTATTCTCAATACCACAGAGAAACTTTTGATGAAAATATAAGGAGTTTATTACCCCCACAGTGCAACACTTACAAATATTTTTGTCAAATGCATTTGATCTCTTACCTAGACTGATCTTTGGTGCCCAAAATTAGCTCCTTTGTAGACTGAGTTTTGCCGACTTGCTTTGTTGAGCATTATAGAAGCTTCGCACTCTGCCTGATACATGCTCAACAGTTGAATATATTTCAACAAACTTGGTTATCTCAATTGATCACAATTACCCTTTAACTATGAATTATAGGTATTTCAATATGACTCAACCAAGAGTTTAAATAATATATATACAAATGCTCATTGTTAGTAAGCCATAGAAATAATGTTGTCCACATGCTACATCAAGTTGAACAACATAACCACAAATTTCACATCATATTCTTATAAGAAATTAATCCCATACACAAGGAATATGTTCGAGCTCATATTTATTCGGAAATATCTCTCAACAATGAGACTTCAGAGTTTCCACTTGCACAATTTTCCATTCTCTTGAAGAGAAATTCATATATAGCATTCATAGGATGCAGATCAATATTACTATTGCAGTACTTCAACAATTTCTATTGCAAGGCTTTGATTGTTTAAGAACATATGAAAGTCAACCTCATTTCAGGTGAAGATCAAGTGGCGCTCTAACTAGCCTACGAGATCAACGCCCTACTTCTTAAGTACTCCCAGGTCGAGTGGTGAAACCGAAGTTTACTTAAAAACCATCTTCCTAGACAGAGTGTTTAAGATGATGACTTTTCCATGTTCTCACTAAATTACAATTGAAGCCTATGATATATGCTCTTATTTTTATACAAATAAATTTAGTAAAAAGTTTGAGCAATATCTATGCACGAATTATATCAATCAATGTCATTAGTATTCAAAATACTAAAGAAATAAGTACTACTAAGTAATCAAAATCTAGACAGCTCAACTAGAATTCAGTACTAAGACAATCATACTTCATGCGAACCCTTCGAACTAGAGCAAATATAGTTACTAAAAAATAACTGCTTATTTAAAGAGATTCAATACTCATCTTGCTCTGTCAGATTGCCTTTTGCTAGTTTTGCCATTGTGATGGTAGCACTGGTGTGCTCGGTGTCCTTGCTTTCTGCATGTAAAACACCTTCCTTTGAACTTCTTGATTTTTCTACTCCTTTTGTTGTAGACAGTTCTGACACTTTGATTTTCAGTTTCATTGGCACCGTACTTTTCTGACAGTGATTCGCAAATGACTTTTGCCGAGTCTTGTTTGACATAGATGTCGAACAAATCGTCATTCATTTGTGACAGAAGGTATCCTCTGGCTGCTGCATTGTCATTTCTAAACTGCATCAGAGTTACACCCAGTTTTTGACCCGGAATATAATCTATTTCAGGACTACTTTCTCTCGATTCTTCACCCGGAGTGTAATCAGTCTTCGAAGCTGAGGTGGAGTTGAAGCTTCTGGAATTGGGAGTTCATCATCATTAATGGAAGCATCAGTAACATCTTGCTGCTCAATTTGGTCCTCCTCTCCAACCTCTTCAAGAACCACTGTTGGAGGTACTATCTCAGTATCAACTGAATCACCGTTATGAGATCCCAATTCTTTAACCCGGTCAATATCCTCTATGGTTTGATTCTCCACGAACACAGCATCTCGGCTTCTCACAAGCTTCTTTTTAACTGGATCATAAAATCTGTAGCCAAAGTCATCTAGACCATAGCCAATAAACACACACTGTCGTGTCTTAACATCAAGTTTCGGTCTTTCATCTTTCGGAATGTGCACAAATGTTTTGCACCCGAAGACACGTAGATAATCATAGGGAACATCATTTCCTGTCCATACCCGATTTGGTATGTCAAACCTTAAAGGAGCACATGGTGAGAGATTCAACACATGCGCAACAGTACTTAGTGCCTCAGCCCAGAATGTCTTTGGTAACTTTGCATGTGACAACAAACATCTAACTCTCTCAATCAAAGTCCTGTTCATCCTCTCAGCAACACCATTTAACTGAGGAGTCTTTGGTGGTGTTTTCTTATGGCGAATACCCTGCTCTACGCAATACCTATTGAGTGGCCCAATATACTCTCCTCCATTATCTGACTTTATGCATTTTAGCTTCTTCCCAGTCTGTCTCTCAACTAGGGCATGAAATTGCTTGAATATGTCCACAACTTGACTTTTATGCCTCAAAGAATAAACCCATAATTTCCTTGAGCAGTCATCAATGAAGGTAACAAAATAGCGAGCACCACCAAGTGACCTAGTTTTGAAAGGTCCACACACATCAGAGTGTATCAGTTCCAATACCTCTAGTTTCTTCTTAGTCTCAGCAGAACTTTTAAAGGATACTCGGTTCTGCTTCCCTGCTAGACAATGAGCACACCTCTTCAAATGAACATTGTTCAACCCAGCTAAGCTCCTTTTTCTGACCAGCATGGACATCCCTCTCCTCAGATATATGTGCAAGCCTCTTATGCCATATATCATTCGTATCATCGTTCTCAATCGTATTGACAATATTTCCTGAGATCTTGGCCTGTAAATCATAAAGTGTAGAACACTTTGTGCCTCGAGCCACAACTAGAGAACCTCTTGTGAGTTTCCATTGGCCATTTTGGAAAGTATTACAATACCCTTCATCATCTAATTTTCTAGCAGAAATTAAATTATACCTGATATCTGGAACATGCTTCACATTTTTCAGAAGCAACTTGGTGCCATTGTTGGTTTCTAACTGAACATCGCCAACACCAACAATCTTTGCATTACCATCATTGCCCATTTTCACAACTCCAAAATCACCTGTTGCATAACTAACAAAAAAATCCTTTCGAGCTGTAGCATGAATGGATGCACCACTATCAATTACCCAGTTTGTATCATGACTTGCCAAATTAATGGCATCTGTGTCACCATCATAGAAGATAAGAAAATCATGTTCAACTGTAGCAGCTACACTATCATCATCACTACCATTATTCTTTTCAGAGTCTTTATTTTTTTGATTTTCTTTCTTCCGTAGTCGGCAAAATTTCTTAATATGCCCCTTTTTGTGACAATGATAACATTCAACATTAGCAAATTTATTAGATTTACCTCTACTGTTATCTTTGTTTTTATCTTTACTCCTTGGACCCTTGCTTTGACTTCTCCCCCTATTTGTTGTAGCCAAGACCTCTGAATGTTGAGAGGAAGTACCTTGTGACCTTCGTCTCATCTCTTCATTCAGGACACCACTTTTAACAAGTTCCATTGTTACAACACCGTTAGGAGCAGAATTAGTCAAAGAAATCTTTAAAGTTTCCCAAGAATCTGGCAATGATGCTAGTACCATAAGAGCAAGGACCTCATCATCAAAATTAACTCACACACCTGACAATTGATCAACAATCCCTTGAAATTCATTCAAGTGATCCACAACAGAACTACCCTCGTTATATCTTAACTGCACCAATTTTGTGAGATAAAACAATTTGTTGTTGCCAGTCTTTGAAGCATATAAATCTTCAAGTTTACTCCACAGTGTCCTTGCGTGGGTTTCACTACAAATATGATTATACACATTATCTTCAACAAATTGCCGAATAAAACCACATACCTGTTCATGCTCAAAGGCCCACTCTTCATCTGATTTATTTTCAGGTTTCTGGGTAGCAAACACGGGTAAATGCAACTTCATCACATATAGTAGATCTTTTATCTTATTTCTCCATATGTGATAATTTGTGCCATTCAAACTTGCAATTCTATTGAACTTTCCTTCCATAGCTTCTCACTTGAACAAGGCTCTCATACCAGTTGTTGGGAAGAAAGCTCGCAAGAATATATAATTAGCACAATGAAAATAAATAAACGGCACCAAGAAGAACACCAAGAATTTTAACGTGGAAAAACCTCCTCAAGGCAAGGAGTAAAAAACCACGGGCACAAGCCAGTAAACCTTCCACTATATAGATAATGGGTACAACAGAGGAGGCTTCTCTAATTCAACGATTAGAGGCAACACAAAATACAAGAGAAAATAACATATACCCCGAGGCACAAGAATTTCTACGAAATCCACCAACTTCTTCTCGGCTAATTTTCTCACACTTGTATATCTCAACAAATTTCCTCTCCTCTCTTTTTCTTCTTCTTGAACTCTCTTATATCCAAGGTAGCCAAATCCATGGCCTTTATATAGGCTTTACAAAGTCAAACTCTTTTGTCTTTTCATTTGCCCACTTTAATCTCCCATGAATGAAGCCATTAATCATAAAACCTTTCACTTCATCTTCCAAGCTTAATTGTTAAGCTTTTGGTCACCACCCTACCCACATTGGTGGGACCATCTAGCAACAGTCAGCGAATCATACTGTTCATGTGTTGGCTCGGAGTCAATTTTTCTGTCTAATAGTAGAGAATGGTTGTGATTCCCTCAGTATATATAGCATAAAAATACTCTCTCATAGCATAGGAGGATCTGTTATATATGAATCTGCCAATGGTTTTTGTACATGCTGTGGATTTGTTGCTGTAATGAATTTGGCTAAATATGTACGGTGTTATATCATAAAGTATTATGGTTTGTGCTTCAATTGTGGTATAAAGTTGGTGTTATTTCTTCATCTGAACTGAACTGATTTTGTCCATCTAAAGCAGAGAGTTCAGGGCGTGGATTAATTAGTAGATAGGAGTTTTGTATGTTAAAGTATAATACTGTCATTTTGCAATTAAAAATATAATGCTTCGGTGTTGCAATTATTTTCTTGCGCTGCCTTCATCACACGACGAGATGAGAGATGGAAATTGAATTAGCCACTACGCTCTGCTGCCAGAAGGAAATTCCCCCAACCAATGTTATTAAATTATGTATTAAGTTAATGAATGTCAACTATGCACATGATGAGCATAATATAATAAATTGCACTGTACTTCTTCCAAATCATACATAGAATATTTGATCCCTACCTCTTCTTATATTACTCCGTATTATAAATTGCACCTACCTACCTGAATTCTCAACATACATGGGCATTATTTCATATCAAATGAGCGCCATGTTCCAACAGATCGTACAAAATCCTTAGCAGCAACAAGCAAGGAGGAAGAAGAAGAAGTAGTGCCGCCACCATCATCCTCAGCCGCCATCTATTTTCTTCAAGCTAAGGACTCAATTACGTACCGCCACTCAATAAGCTTAGCTATCTGGTTGTGGTGATAGGGTGAAGAGAGACTGCTGGGATTTCTTAATGCTGCTTTAATTTAGGTAATCTTCTTCTTCCTCTTCTTATTTATATCAACAGCTACAAACTTCAATTACCAAACAATCATACTCTTATGGCGAATCAATTCTAATTGGAACAATTTATCAAAAACATAACCTACAAAGTCGATCTTCTTCCAATCCCCTTTTTTCCAAGCGAGATTGAAATTGTGAGTATGTACTATGTCTAATTGCATGTCCTATTCTTATAGCTACACACAATTCCAAAGATTCTCAAGCATAATTGAACCCTAAATGATACAAGAGATCAAATTATAGCATACTCACAACAACAACCTTAGCTAATTCAATACATACTCTTTTTATGCAATTGAAATCATAGAAGCATCTATAATAAGATCAAGCTACTTTTAATTCAAGTTATTATATTTATTTTTGTTATAATAAATTATAAGTTAAAATTAGTTATTATTTACATTTTCATTACAATTATTATTACTCTTTATGACTATTATAAATAATTATTATTATCATCATTAAAATAATTTATATTTTATAAGAAACCGCTTTGTAATAGAGTTATGCTCATGTTTTTAAAAAATTAATCAAATAGAAACAATATAATATTTTTACTTTTACCTAAATAAAAAATATTTGCCAACTATCATGTATTGTGATGAACTGATGATATCCTAGTTACCATTCCAAGTGGATGGTCATAGGTTCGAAGTACTTCCAACTCTATTACTCTGGTGGTGGAGGCTTAGGCTCTTTGGACTAAAAACGTTTGAAAAAGTATGGAACAGATACTACCTTGTAAAAAACAATAAGTATTTTCATAAAAAGATAAAAATGAGTATTTCAGCCAAACACTAACAAATGAAAATATTTTTCAAAGAATTAATTATTTTCTAATATTTCCAAGCTCAGCCTAATTCACTTGTATTCATGAACCTGATCTACAATCCCTACTTAAATTTTTTTGAAGTGAATTTTTGAAACATTAACCTGATTAGTTGTTCCTATTTTGGATGAAGCTGGAGCTGGCTTTGATAGACACAAAACAGACAGAAAAAAAAAAAAAAATTTGAGCTGTAAGATTCCACTTAACATTAAACAATTTCTTCTCATGTTATCATTATCTTCCTCAAATACTTTTTTTTTTTTTTTTTGTTTTTTTGAAAACATCATCTATCCTCTAATATTTAATTCCATATGACTCGCAATTAGTGTTACAAGTTGCAGAAAGTCACACAAATTTTAATATGAAGTACTAAAAGTCAATATAATGCTGCCATTTTGCAATTAAAAATATAATTTTAAAATCATGGTTGTTAGAATTCCTGTCTAAATTGCATCACAACTTTCATTTCTTCTTTGTTCTGCTCTGATCAGCTACTACATAGACAGACGCAAATGGCTTATGCTGCTGTAACGTCTCTTAAAGGAACACTCCATCTACATTTCTTGCAATCACAACCACGCTTGCCTCTTCAAGACAATCAAGAGATAGTTAATTCTCTCCATGAAAATCTTGGTTTCTTCCAAGAAATTCTTGAGAAATCTGAGACCGCCTATAATAATTCGGCGATGAAAGATTTAGAGGCAGAGATGAGAGATGTAGCTTTCAAAGCTGAAGAAAGAATTGAGATGGAATTGAGTAGCATATATCTTCACTCAAGCAGTATAGATGCTTGCCTCCTCAGGCTTCATGGAATCTTCAAGCAAGCAGTAAAACAGACTGATTACCTGAAGAAGAAGTTGATTAAGATTACAAGTAAACACCAGTTTGCAAAGGGTCCATCAATCACGGGTATTTCACTTTTTGGTCGGATGCGACGACAAAGAGGACTACTCCTTGGTTCAACATCATCCCAGCCTGCTGATCCAGAACGAGAGAATATTACTGTGAGTAAATTTTCCAAAAGCGTTTCAAAGTTTGAGAGTAAAATGGTTGGATGCGACAAGGAATTCAAGATAATATTGGACAAGCTCGCGCAACAAACAGCTGAGCAGCTCCAAGTTGTATCAATCGTTGGCATGGGAGGAATAGGCAAGACCACTTTAGCTGAGAAAGTCTACAAGGATCCATCAATTACTTCTCATTTTTACAAGCAAGCATGGGTTACTATATCCCAAGAGTATACCGTTGGGCAGATGCTCAAATGCCTTATTGGTTGTGTTAGTGCATCAAGTGATGAAGAAAGCAGCAATGGCCCAGGCCAATTAGCAGAAATGCTACGTAAACTCTTGAAGGATCAGAGATACTTGATAGTGATAGATGATATATGGAGCAAAAAAGCTTGGGAAAGTGTGCAAAGATGCTTTCCAAATGATAATAATGGAAGCCGTATACTACTGACTTCTCGTCTCAGAGAGGTGGCTGAATATGCTGCTAGTTCAGGTAACTCTATCATTAACATGCCTTTCTTAGATGCCAATGAAAGTTGGAATCTCTACTGCAGTGTGTTCGGTAAAACGGAATTTCTTTTGGTGTTTGAGCAAATTGGTAGAGACATAGTGAAGAAATGTAAAGGATTACCTCTAGCTATTACTTTAGTGGCTAGTCTTCTCTCCAAGACAGAGGAGAAGGTGGAAAAGTGGAAGAATGTTGCAGACAGTGTAATTGGTGATTCTAATGAAGCATGTTCAAGTGTACTATCTTTGAGTTACAACCAATTACCACACCCCTCTAAAGCTTGCTTTCTATATTTTGGAGTTTTTCCAGAAGATTATGAAATCCCGGTAAAGAAGTTAGTTAAGTTGTGGGTAGCCGAGGGATTTTTCGAGGCAGTGAACAATAAGAATCTGGAGGAAGTGGCCATGGAATGCTTGCAAGATCTTGTTGATAGAAGTCTTGTTCTAATTGGTAAATTGAGCTACAGTGGCAAATTCAAGACAATTAGGATGCATGATCTCTTGCGAGACTTGTGCTTGAGAGAAGCTCGACGTGAAAACCTCTTGAATGTCATAGGACTCGTAAAACTCCCATTTTTCAAGAGGAAATTACAGCACTTGTTTTCAAAAGCTTGTCCTTGGATAAGTATTAGACCAGGATGTTTCAATATTCAAATTAGATCTATGGGCTTTGACAAATTCCATTCCTTACACTCTGTTGATCATGTTGATTTCAGCATTAAGGTGCTTTGTCACTTTAAACTATTAAGAGTAGTAGACATGAAACTTGGATTTTGGAACTTTGAAGATAAGATGCTATATATGGCAAATCTTGTTCACTTGAGATACTTAGCTTTGTCCCTAAATGAAAAAGCTGGCCCTCTTAAACTAAAGCTCTTTGAGCATTGGAATATGCAAAGTTTTATTGTTCGTGGATGTAGTGTTATATTGGATTCCTCCGAGCGAATTTGGAAAATGCCACTATTAAGGAATTTTTATGCGGACATAATTCCTTTTACATTAGAGGCTTCGGAAGTTGTTCATAGAAACATCGAGACTATATCTTGGTTGCGTCCGAATTGTTGTACAGACGATCTCTTTACAAGGATTCCAAATTTAAAAAAGTTGGGAGTTCAAGGTGAAAGGCGTTTTGACAATGAAACATCAATTGATTTCTATAATTTTGTGCACTTGGGGCAGCTTGAGAAACTAAGCATCAAAGACTGGCATCTCAAACTTCCGTATAGGGGCATCCAATGGGCAACTAGTTTTCTACCAAATCTTAAGAAGCTCGAATTCTTCTGGACCTATTTGGCATGGAGTGATATGGAGCTTATTGGTATGTTGTCAAATCTAGAAGTTCTAAAATTGATAGATGCTTGTGAAGGAAAAAAGTGGGAGACATCGGAGGGAGGGTTCCGGCAATTGAAAAGGTTGGTAATTAAAAGCAGGAATTTGGAAGATTGGAATGCTGTGGGTGATCATTTTCCTGTGCTTCAACATTTAGAGTTAAGTTTGTGCAGAATTTTGCAAGAGATCCCTATTGCGTTTGCCGATATTACCACACTTGAATTGATTCAATTAAATGACTGCTTGGATTCCGTTTTGACTTCTGCAAAGCTTATTCAAGATGAGCAGCGAAGCTATGGAAATGAAGCCCTCCTTGTTAGTTCTAAATATATTCGGGTCTCTTTCTATCTCTGCTTCCATTATATCTCTGACTGTTTCACATTTCATGCTATTTAAATTCTTTGCAATTCCTCTGCAATCAATAATTATGTGCATGCTTTCTCTCATTTTTCTCTTTCTCATATTTCCTTACCAATATAAATGTGTCCACTTACATATTGTTTCCCGTAGGAGTAATGAATGAATAAGGGTATGTAGATACGTACTTAAATAAGTCGATCTGTTTTATTTCGTTTCTCCTTAACATCTAATTATTAAACACATACAGACAACTATAAAGATTGAGAGGCGATGAAAAGTTAAGAGGCACAAAGC